GGCACCAGATGTGCAGCCCGGATGTGTGGCCCTGGGGCTCCTGCTCCACAGGAAACGGCCCCATCAGCCATCGTGGTGAGCCAGGACAGGGACAGGCAGCCACCCCAGAGGGGTCCCCATCATGCTGGGCCCCCAGGATGGGGTGCTCCTCCAGAAGGCTGTCCCTCAGCTGGGAAGGGCCCTGCTCAGCCCTGAGCTGCGGAGTGGCAGTGTGAGGGGGAGATGGGGATGGAGCCGAACAGGCAGCCCGGCCTGTGACACCGCTCACCAGGAGCCACCATCACCTCTGGTCCCCACACCACCATACCTGGGAACAGGTGAGGGTGTCCACGTGCCATCCCTGATGGACACTGGGGTGGGAGACCACAGGTGCTGCCTACAGGGACACGCAGCAGGGACACACAGGGACCCTGTGGCTCTTGTGTCCCTGGATGAGGTTGCATTGCCTGCACAGCTCCTGCCCGTCTAATGACCGAGTGCCCTTGGCAGCCGTCGGCGTGGCCTCGACCGGGGCTGCCAAGTGGATGCGAGACCTCAGGACGGAGCCAGCTGTGCTGCCTGGCACGCGCTGGCCTGGGATGGCCTGGGCATGGCACTGTCATGTCCCCTGCGGCCACCAGCCCTGTGCTGGGGGTGCGAGTGACCCCCAGGAGCCCCAGCTCAATGCCACGGGGTGTGATTCATGCAGGGCACGGCTGCATTCAGCCACGCCACGTGTTTGCTCTGTTTACTGCAGGTGGGTCCGTGGGAGTCATCAGGCATCTACCAAGATAAGGTGCCCTAGGACAGGGTCGGGCACCCATCCCTTTCCGGGGAGCCTGTGGGTGGCATTGCCCAGCGGCTGGCATTGCCTTGGAGCTGGCATCACACTTTTCCAGGGCAGTCAGCCGTGTCTGCACCCTGTGCATGGTGTTGGGGTGCTGGGGCTGGGGGGGGAAGCGGGACAATGACCTGAAGCCAGCGCCTAATCCCCGACAAAGCCTCCCCATTCCTCATGCTTGGCCGGGCAGGGAATGTGCTGAGGCAGCACCCAGGAGGACCGTCCTTGCCTCTGACCTTCACGGCGTGTTGGGGCACAGTGAGGTGACAGGGTGGGGAACCCCGGCACCCCCCAGCACCCCCCTCCCGGCACCGCGGTGGGGCTGGACGGCTCAGTCCAAGAGATGCCCAAACCTGATCCGGTGAAAACGGGGTGTGCTCGGTGAGGGGCCCCTGTGTCTGGCTGTCCCGGTAGAACGGAGGTGCCGGCGGAAGGGGTGCGGAGGGGGGGCAGGGAGCAGATGCGTTCTGACACGTGCCCCGGGGAACGCCCGGTTTCGTAGAAACTGGCCACGGTGTCTGTGGCTCCCGGGGACCGTCCCGGGCGAAGGTCGCCCCGGCGGGGAAAGGCGCAGCCGGAGGCG